AAACCTTTGATAGTCTCCTGTGTCTATGCTTTTGCTGTTGTTCATCTCTTCAAACTTCTCTCTTATCACTTGTATTCCTACCTTGCTTGGCGATATTGCTTTGTTCATTGTTGGTTTCCTGACTGGTGCTTTTGATGAAGATGACGCCCCTGTTTCTTCCTGTGCTGTCTCTGCTTCATCTACATTGGGTGTCTTGTTGTCTTTGGGGATGTTGATTGTTGCTCCCAATGCTTGTGGTTGGGGTTGCTTTCCTCTTACTCTTCTTGCTTTGGGTGGTTTGGTGGTTGTGGATGGGTCTTCCTGAAATTCTCTCTTCTCCTGCGTTGGCGGTTTTGGTTTCTGCCTCTTTGCTTTGGACTGTCTCACGCTTAAGGGCTTCCTTTTTTCTGCTGTTGGTATTGCTGTTGTATCCATTGGTTCATTGACATCGGGCACTACATCCACGTTCATCTTTGATTTTTCCTCCTTTAACTTCTTTTGGTGATTTACCTTTTGGACTTGTTTGTTAATTAGTTTTTGTGTTGGTTTTATCTTGGACGGTTTCTCTTCCTCGTCTTCGTCGGGTATGATGGCGTCTGTCAGTTTTGATGCTATTAGTCCTCCTATTGACCCTCCCTTTGCTGTTCCTCCTGCTGTGGCGACTGCTTTGATGACTGGTTTGGATGATTTAAGGAATTTCTTTAAGATGCTTCTACTGCTTGAAGGCGGTTCTTCGTCTTCTTGTATCCCTGCCGATGCCGTTGCTCCAACGGCGTCGTATGCCCCTTTGTTTGCCATATAGTGGTCTTGTGAATGACTTAAGTTTGCCTGTTCTGCTACTCTCCTTTCGTTCTCTTCCCTCAACTCTGCCTCTCTGTCAAAGGACATCTCGAAGTCGCTGATGGCGTCGTCCCTCAAGTCTGTCATACCTTCAAAGTCAAGGTTGGGTGTTTCTTCTTCCTTCCTTGCGGTCGCTTCCTCTGCCATCTTTTTGAAGTTCATTTGCTGTAAGTCTGCTGGGTGGATGTTGTTTGTGTTCAGTGCTTGACCCTGCGGACTTTCGTGAAAATACCAAGCGTTCCTATCAAAGATTTTTCTGATGTCATTGGTTTTGAACTTTTCCCTGTCTATTTCCTTGATGAGTTCTGCGTAAGTGGGTATTCGTGTCAATCCCTGTTTTGCGTTGATTACTTCTGCTGTCATTGCTATATATTAATACTTTAGATTTTTATATTAATCTTGTGTATCGCCTCTCAACCACTGTTTATACTCATCAATTCTCTGTTTCATATTCTGGACGTTCGCCCCGTAATCTTCCAATCTGTGATTTTTCCTCACCTCCCTCAACCTTGTCATTTCGTTCTGTAGCATCTCATTCTCTTCCTTCATCCTCTGCTTTACTTGTAAGACCTTGTAATCGTGCTCGGTGTTGTGATATTCAAGAAGGCGCTTTAGGTAAAGATGATGGTTGTGAGTTGGCATCCTTGCCGTGTTGCTGTCGTTGTGGTAGTAGTGGTCATAACTACTATACACTTTTTTTCTTTGTCTGGCATTTCGGGCGTTCCCCTCCGGTAGTTGGCACTTTTGTTTGAATGGACGGTTTGTCTTCTGTTGATGTCCTTGCGGACGTTTTCGTAGATGTCTGTTTTGTTGAGTTCTATTTTCTGTTCCTTGATGTTCATTTTTATATATAATACTTTACAAACTTTTTGATGCTAAAGATTTCAAGTTCTCTCTCGTCGCTTTGTTCTTTTCCTCTTTGGCTTTGTTGTAGGTGTCTCTGGCGGACATCGCACTTTGTAGTTCTTCCTTTATTTGTTTTGCAAGGTCGCTTTTGAATGCTTCTGGGTCAAAAGGTGGTTTCGCCCTTGACGGTCTTACCCTTTTGGGCTTTGGGGCTGGTTGCGGTTTCTCTTCAACGGATGGTTCAATTATTTCTTCTGGTTTCTCCTCTTCTTTCGGTGCTTCTTCCTGTGTTGGCTCTGGTATTGTTTCTTCCTTGGGTTCTTCATTATCAATCTCTTTTACGACTACCTCTGTCATATATCAATATTATAGATAAGTTTTTATACTTTCAAAATCTCGTGCCTCAAATACGGTTTGTTCAATCCTTCCAGTTTGAAGGTTCTGTTTCCGACATCATCGTATTCTATCTTGACGATTTTGTAGGATTGATTGCTCCACTTTGAGTTATACTCCTTCTTCTCGGTGTAGTTGTCTTTTTTCTTCTCAAAGACCTTGACCATATCATTCACTTTGACCTCTGGATATTTGCGAGTGTTCTTTTCCCTCCTTGTCAAATTTACCCTGACGCCCATATGGTTTTTGTCGTCGTGGGCATCCTTGGGTTTCATTTTGGTGGATGAATGGACGGTGTCGTTGTATTTATCTAACGCTTTGGACAACATCACAGTCCAACTGCCCCGATTAAACCTGACCCTGTCGTGTATCATATTTTTCATTGTCCTTATGAAACGTTCCACAACATTAGCGTGTGTTAGGGTGACGACGTGAGTGATGCCTTCTTTCTCAAAAAAGTCTTTTACCCCCGCTTGGAAGGCACGGTCATTATCGCTATAAACGGACATCGGAAAACCCATTTTGTTGAAACTCTCTTTCATCGCCGATGCAGTGATTGGTCCAGATTTTTCTTTCATAGGGACGACGTTTGCCAACTTGCTGAAGATGTCAATGACCACCAACCCGTATCTCGGTTCGCCGTTCTTGATGGGAATTTTTGTCTCTGGTTCTTTAGTTAGGGGCTTCATATCCATTATGTCAATTTGATACTCAAACCTTGCGCATGGTGCGGTGTAGGAGTTTGAACCCCTGTATTTTCTAATCTGTTTGTTGGGCTGTTTCCTCATAAAGTTTTCCACATCCACCCTGTTGATGGTCTGGTCTTGTTCCTTGGCTTTCTTGAGGGTCTCATTGATTGAACCGAAGCCCGTTTCAAGATTGTAATAGAAATTGCTTATGATGTCATCTCTTGATAGTCTCCTTGCCATATATTATAATATTAGATTTTTAAAATTATCAACAATAAAAAAATATACTTAAAGAAAAAACACATATATAGTAAGAGTAAAGAAGATGACTAAATTTGACTGTGGATGTCGTATTATGAGTGGGCGTATGACTAGTTGGAATTATTTGTTAAAAACCTTCGTGAATGTTTGTGGAAAGTGTGGCAAGAAACAAATGAAATTCCAACAGATGGAAAACAAACTTCTGGAAATGGAAAAGCAACGAATGGAAATGTTTTTGGAAAATGAGGATGAAGAACACGACACATACTTTGACCTGACAGAGTTGAAGGAACATCTCCAAACCCTCCCACCCAACGAAAGACACAAAGTGAAGGATTTTAAGAAACCTTGCCAATGGACAAGACCCCAACGAAGGAATGAGTGAAATAGATATGGTTATACAGGAACTGGAAGAGGAGGAAAGGGAAAATAAAAACCAACCCGAACCCGAAAACTGAACGAGCCCCCAAAAACTACTTAAAGAAAAAATATCTATATATAGTAAGAGGATGCTATTTACTTATAAAAACTGTGGATGTTGTAAGAAAAAAATGACTAACCTAAAGGTTTTATTGAACAATATGTTTCCCGCTGGAATTTGTGATGAGATATGTGATTACAACCTTCACTGTGAAAAATGTAAAGACTTAAACGATAGGGAGCGTAGATACATAGATTTCAATTATCATTTTGACTATTTTAATGATAAAAAGCTGACAAGAGTTGAAAAGATAATCTATTTCTTTAAAACAAGGATGGAGAAATCACCTATTTATTTATCCAACACGAACCGAACAAACACTCGGCAAATGAAAAGAGAAATTTATGTTTTAATGGATACATTCAAACTCAAGCAAGAATTCAAACACGACAAACTGTTCTTAATGGCGATTAAGTCTTTTGTGAAAAGGGAGTGGAAAACTACCTATCACTAACTTTCACGACCTTACATATATGAAGTATTGTAAGAACAAACGGGAGTGGTGGTTTCCTCAAAACGATTGGACTTATACATTCAGAAATAGGGAGTTTAAGGTAAAAGACATTTTGGAAATATGTTTGCGTGAATACACCGAAGAACTTTTCAATGGTTATGAAAAATATTTTAATGTAGAAGAAATAAAAGAGTATCTACAAAAAGTGGTAAATACTTAAAGAAAAAATAACCATATATAATAAGAGAAAATGAGTAGAGCAAAAATTGAGGTTATAGATATAGGTAATATCGGTTTATATGCTGACTTTGGTAGTGAAAGCGAGGACGATGACTCGGAAAGAAAAGCAATAGAAAAAGAAGATGAAGAGATTAGAGACTTTGTAAGGTGCCACCCCTTACCATCTCGTGAAGACTTTGATTTTTGGAAATCTGTCCTTGGTAGATTTAAGGAAAGTAATGTAGAACGGTTTAAGATATGGAAACAAAAAGAACCTGACATCATCAAACGAATGTATGAAAACCTAACTAATAAAGATATAATCATACAATATGGAAAAGAATTCAATAAAAGAGGTGGTTATTACGCTATGGTTATTAATATAATTCTTTTATCAATAGCGATGGATGAACTGAACGATACAAACAAACCGTGCTTAGCACAAATGAGAGTAATTGAAAACTGGTGGGATGGAATAGGAAAGTGGAAAGCATAAAAGATTAATTCATAATATCTTAACCAAACATATTATGAAGTAATCACCCGCCCAAACACAAACACAAAACCCCAACAGTCTAAACAAATGTCCCCCTCATCTTAAACCAAACCATCAAGTGAAAGTTAGGGGTAAAATAGTCCCAAAACCCCCACCACATAAAACATCAAAGATAAGGAAGAAACATTGAACAATAACATAAAAACCATAACAACCAACAATAAACGCTGGGATGTCCTAGCATCCCCCTTTTACCATTTTTTCCCATAGTTTCTCTATTCTGTTCGGCATGTTTTCCTTCATTTTCCCATATCCCAGCCATATATTTTTACTGTATGCCAGGTGCCTCAGTACCGAGGCAGATTGCGGAGGGAAAAGGACGCCCTGCAAAGAATCAGATTGGTGGGTCGAAAATCATCAAAAATCCATGCAATTTTGCCATAACTATGGAAAATAACGGAAAGTAACTGGAAAGTTGGAGAAAAAATAAGCTGTGGTCATGGAAGTCCTGATGGTTGTCCAATTAAGTAGTTAATTGGCAGTGACAAACACACACACACACAATCACATACACCATCTTTGTTCAATGGTAGTGCAGAGGGTACTTCAAAGAGGTTTAGTCCATCCACAGATGCCGTAGGTGTGCCTGACTATCTAAGCAGATCTCAGCCCATTGTGCCAACAGTGGCAGAGGTGCGGTGCTTATCGCGTGATTCTGACAGGAACTTCAATCAACAAGGTGAGAAGGAGGATGTCCAGCTTCTGTATCCAGTTGAATATGACACAGTTGATATCATTCCGGTACTGGCTGCTATAGTGCTCTTTTGCTGCAGTGTTGGCTCAAAGTGTTTCAACACGCAACGCACATGGCAACGTCACAGACACAGGCCCCTTAGGACTTAGGTCAGGCATTTTCCAGCAGAGGCAAGGCTTTGAACTAGTGCCGAGTATGGAGCAGGTTTAGATGCCAAAACTATATAGATGATTACAGATTATGTATCTCAAGTCAGGGGGGCAGTGACAGTTTGGTGAAGTGGGGATCCTTCGCAGCCATGTCCCTGGCTGATGTGGCAGCATCATGGCTCGGATATGTTGTGATTGCCGGCGCATGTGTTGTGAAGGTACCGCAGATCTTGCTGATCGTCTCCAATTCCAGTGCAGAAGGTCTCTCAGAAACGGCAGCGGCACTCGATGCGATTGCTGCCAGCAGCTTCTCTTACTACAATGTGCTGAAGGGTTTTCCCATCGCTAACTGGGGTGAGCAAGCTATCGTTGCTGTACAGGCAACTATGGTGCTGATTCTGGTCTGGATTTATCGTGGAAACAATCTCAAGTTGAGATTTGCACTCTTCGGGCTGTGGATCGCAGCGAGTGTGGCTATTCTGATGGAAGGACATGAATACCACCTCCTGTTGACCACTCTTGGTGCTTCTCCAACGGCAATGACTGCAATTTCTCGAATCCCACAGATTATGCTCAACTGGCAGAATGGCCAGACTGGACAGCTGTCGCTCATTACTTTCCTCCTTCAATTTTTGGGAAGTGTGGCCCGACTTCTGACGACATTGCAACTGATTGGAAATGATCCCCTTTCACTGATATCTCACTCAGTTGGGGCCATTCTGAACTTGGTGGTGGTGTTCCAGATCGTGGCACACATCAACCAGCTGAAGGCCGAGAAACCAGCTGTGAAGCCTGCCAAGATGAGCATTGTGCAGCTTGAGAAGGCGGTATAGCATTGAGTCCTTAGCAAAGCTCCTGAAATTCCACCTGGGATCACCTGGGTATGGCTCAAAATAGCTGGAGATTATATACGTTATATATTTGATAATTGTATACGTGAAATATTGTAAGAATGAAATATATCCCCAAACATTGTATGATTAGTAAAGTACTAGATATATCAAGTATAAGCAAATCTTGGGTCCATTGGATACCTGAGCCATCCATGATTCTCACCTGCAGTCTCAATGAGATTGCCGGATGCCCCGGGCACTGTACAGGGTACCAGTTTTCCAGCTGCTCAGTCGTGCTGATCCTGAAACAAATGTTTGGGGACGCGTTCGTGTTGCCAGTGACATGGTCAAGTGACATGCTACATGGGGTCATCCCACTGTGATTTTTGGATTCGCCATGGATATCCCATGATATCCCTATTAATGGGTTGAGCAATTTACCCGAAGATGGGTTTACATCGAGAACGGGAGAGATCCCAAAGAAACATGAGAATTCAACAGGGGAGAATGATAGTCCATGGGATTTTTCGGAGGCTTTCCCCTAGAATTTTCTAGGCAAAGCCATGTTTCACATCAATTCCGAAGACATCCTATGGGAGCTTCACCCTGGGGAGGCACCTCTTTCAAGTCGCGAAAGCCGCGAAACGAACCGTCGGATGGAGGTGGGGATGTCATTTCGGTTGACCGTACGTTCCAACATACATTGCCTGACCTGACCTGACGTTACCTTAGGTTCCGTTACATTACATTACAATACATTACATTCATTACATGACATGACATACATATACAATCATAACATAGACCCGGGCAAGCCGGCGGCGGAAGTTTCCCAAACATAAATGACCTATAGTTCAAAGACAACCTGTCCCGACCGTGTCCTTCCCTCGACACTCCACACCTCACACTCCACACTGCACTCTTCACACTCCAAACTTCAAACTTCACACTCCACACTTCACACTTCACACTCCACACTTCTCACTTCTCACTGCTTCCTTCACACTCCAAACCTCACACTTCACACTTCACACTGCGCTCTTCGCACTCCAAACTTAAACTTCACACTCCACACTGCACACTCCACACTTCACACTTCTCACTTCCCACTGCTTCCTTCACACTTCACACTTCACACTGCACTCTTTACGCCCCACACTTCACACTGCTCTAAACCTACGTGGAACAAAAAAACACTAATGCGACAAAATGGAGAAAATCTGCGGACAAATCACTGTCGCAGCCTTCATGCAGCCTCTCCAATACGATTTACGAGATCCAGCTGCAAAAGACACGACGACTAGTATTACGAATGCAGCCACAGCACGAAGCAACCTTGACGCAGCCATTACAATGCGATCTGCAGAGACTGAGTTGCAAAACACAACAGAACTACGCGCAACGGCGTCGGAAATTGTAGCTCCAAAACCGGAACTCGACGCCAGAGCGAAAAAAAAAGATTTTGAAGCACTTTTTAAAAGGATTTTTAGAAGGAAAATCATTAGCGCCAAAATGGAGAAAATCTGCTGACAAATCACTGTCGCAGCCTTCATGCAGCCACTCCAATACGATTTACGAGATCCAGCTGCAAAAGACACGACGACTAGTATTACGAATGCAGCCACAGCACGAAGCAACCTTGACGCAGCCATTACAATGCGATCTGCAGAGACTGAGTTGCAAAACACAATAGAACTACGCGCAACGGCGTCGGAAATTGTAGCTCGAAAGACTGAGCTGCAAACCGCAATCCCATTTACATTGCGGGAACGATCCTACAGTTGCAAAGCACAATGGAATTCCATCGGCAACTCATCCACCAGCACCACTTGCAATCCCATTTACATTGCGGGAACGATCCCACAGTTGCAAATCACAATGGAATTCTGTCGACCGCACATGCACGAAAAACAGGTGAAACCCCATTTACAATGCGGAACCGATCCGAACATGATCCGCCCATGATCCGACCACACACGAGACCGTCTCGCAACCGTCGCACCGCAGAGGTAGATCATCGAGGTTCGGGGACGGACTTTGTATGGAAAAACATAGGGTTTCGTGCATCATGCTATCTCTCAAAAACGCATTTCGTGCGAGACTTCCTTCAAAACTCCATCGGCAACTCCTCCACCAGCACCACTTGCAATGCCATTTGCATTGCGGGAACGATCCTACAGTTGCAAAGCACAATGGAATTCCATCGGCAACTCATCCACCAGCACCACTTGCAATCCCATTTACATTGCGGGAACGATCCTACAGTTGCAAATCACAATGGAATTCTGTCGACCGCACATGCACGAAAAACAGGTGAAACCCCATTTACAATGCGGAACCGATCCGACCATGATCCGAACATGATCCGCCCATGATCCGACCACACACGAGACCGTCTCGCAACCGTCGCACCGCAGAGGTAGATCATCGAGGTTCGGGGACGGACTTTGTATGGAAAAACATAGGGTTTCGTGCATCTGCTATCTCTCAAAAACGCATTTCGTGCGAGACTTCCTTCAAAACTCCATCGGCAACTCCTCCACCAGCACCACTTGCAATGCCATTTGCATTGCGGGAACGATCCTACAGTTGCAAAGCACAATGGAATTCCATCGGCAACTCATCCACCAGGACCACTTGCAATCCCATTTACATTGCGGGAACGATCCTACAGTTGCAAATCACAATAAAATTCTGTCGACCGCACATGCACGAAAAACAGGTGAAACCCCATTTACAATGCGGAACCGATCCGACCATGATCCGAACATGATCCGCCCATGATCCGACCACACACGAGACCGTCTCGCAACCGTCGCACCGCAGAGGTAGATCATCGAGGTTCGGGGACGGACTTTGTCAAAGGAAGTTTAGGGGGAGAAACTTCCGTGTTACGGACTTTTAGAATGTCAGGGAAAGAGTTAGTCAAAGAAAGAGTTAGCAAAGAAAGAGTTCGTCAGGGAAAGAGTTAGTCAAAGAAAGAGTTAGTCAAAGAAACAGTTAGCAAAGAAAGAGTTAGTCGTCAGGGAAAGAGTTAGTCAAAGAAAGAGTTAGTCAAAGAAACAGTTAGTCAGGGAAAGAGTTAGTCAAAGAAAGAGTTAGTTGAGGGAAAGAGCTAGTCAAAGAAAGGGAAAGAGTAGTCAAAGAAAGAGTTAGCAAAGAAACAGTTAGTCAGGGAAAGGGTTAGTCAAAGAAAGAGTTAGTGAGGGAAAGAGTCAGAAAGAGTTAGCAAAGAAAGAGTTAGTCAGGATATTTGAGGTAGTCAAAGAAAGAGTTAGCAAAGAAAGAGTTAGTCAAAGAAAGAGCAAAGAAAGAGTTAGCAAAGAAAGAGTTCGTTAGGGAACGAGTTAGTCAAAGAAATTGTTCCCGCAATGTAAATGGGATTGCAAGTGGTGCTGGTGGATGAGTTGCCGATGGAGTTTTGAAGGAAGTCTCGCACGAAATGCGTTTTTGAGAGATAGCAGATGCACGAAACCCTATGTTTTTCCAGACAAAGTGCGTCCCCGAACGTCGATGATCTACCTCTGCGGTGCGACGGGTGCGAGACGGTCTTTCCTTCTAAAAATCCTTTTAAAAAGTGCTTCAAAATCGTCTTTTTTCGCTCTGGCGTCGAGATCCGGTTTTGGAGCTACAATTTCCGACGCCGTTGCGCGTAGTTCTATTGTGTTTTGCAAATCAGTCTCTGCAGATCGCATTGTAATGGCTGCGTCAAGGTTGCTTCGTGCTGTGGCTGCATTCGTAATACTATTGTCTTTTGCAGCTGGATCTCGGAAATCGTCTTGGAGTGGCTGCATGAAGGCTGCGAAATGGATTTGTTAGCAGATTTTCTCCATTTTGGCACTAGTGTTTTTTTTGTTGCACGTAGGTTTAGAGCAGTGGGAAGTGTGGGGCGTAAAGAGTGCAGTGTGAAGTGTGAAGTGTGAAGGAAGCAGTGGGAAGTGAAAAGTGTGAAGTGTGGAGTGTGAAGTGTGGAGTGTGAAGTTTCAGTTTGGAGTGCGAAGAGCGCAGTGTGAAGTGTGAAGTGTGAAGTGTGAGGTTTGGAGTGTGAAGGAAGCAGTGAGAAGTGAGAAGTGTGAAGTGTGAAGTGTTAAGTGTGGAGTGTGAAGTGTGGAGTGTGAAGTTTCAGTTTGGAGTGCGAAGAGCGCAGTGTGAAGTGTGAAGTGTGGAGTGTGAAGTATGAAGTTTGGAGTGCGAAGAGTGCAGTGTGAAGTGTGGAGTGTGGAGTGTGAAGTTTGAAGTTTGGAGTGCGAAGAGTGAAGTGTGGAGTGTGGAGTGTGAAGACTTTGCTTCGTCTCTCGCTGAAAAAATCCAACGGTTGTCGAGGGAAGGACACGGTCGGGACAGGTTGTCTTTGAACTATAGGTCATTTATGTTTGGGAAACTTCCGCCGCCGGCTTGCCCGGGTCTATGTTATGGAAAAACATAAGGTTTCGTGCATCTGCTATCTCTCAAAAACGCATTTCGTGCGAGACTTCCTTCAAAACTCCATCGGCAACTCCTGCACCAGCACCACTTGCAATGCCATTCTAACTCTTTCTTTGACTAACTCTTTCCCTGACATTCTAAAAGTTACAATTAACTCTTTGCCTAACTAACTGCTCTTTCCCTCACTAACTCTTCCTTTGACTAGCTCTTTCCCTGACAGTCTAAAAGTTACAATTAACTCGTTCCCTAACTAACTCTTTCCCTCACTAACTCTTTCTTTGACTAACTCTTTCCCTGACATTCCAAAAGTCCGTAACACGGAAGTTTCTCCCCCTAAACTTCCTTGATCATATCATATACATATTAATTACTATGATTGTACATGTACTATACATATCATATATAATCATATACAATCATATACAATCATATACAATCATATACATATAATATATAGATATATACAACAAGACTGCTTGGTACTGGAAGCTTCCGTTCTATCAATGTCTTGGCGAAAAATATCCGCTGCTAGGCGAGTCCAATCCGTCGCTTGAGCTTCCAATCTCTAGGCGAGTTGGATGGGGATTTAACGATCAAAAGTAGCGGGGTTAACATTGCTTAACCATGAAACATATTAAACGTATTAGACATATGATGTTTGAAAAAATTTGAACCACCATAAACCACCTAACCATCAATGGGAGACTTCACCAATGAACTGGCTGGATTTAGTGGATCCATGGGTTTCGTTGTTGGGGTGTCCGGTTTCAATTTTCCCATTGTCCAATTCTGGGAGATGGAAATGGGAAATACTTGGAAAAGATGCGAAACTATATTTGGAGGTTTCCTAAAATGGGGATACCCCTAAATCATCCATTTATAATCATTTATAGATGGAATTTGAAATTAACCATCCATTTTGGGGGTACCCCCGTTTATGGAAACCCCCATTTCCATATATTCCCAGCATTTTCTGTGTGGGGCCATGACTCTTTGAGGTGCGACTGATGCCGGAGTATCCAGAGCTTCTGGCTTGAGGCTTGATGAACGGAAGGTCTGACCAACAATATGGATATTCGGTTCGGTTCGGTTCGGTTCGGTTTCGGTTCGTAGTATTTGCTATGGGCCCTATTCATTTCATGTGCGGTTCCGGTTCATGCGGTTTCGGTTCGGTTAGGTTCGGTATTTGGAACATAATGCATTGATACTTGCTTTTCTTCTGGCGTGGGAAAAACAAATACAGATTGTTTCCCTCCATGGGTTTATAACTCAGGCCTTTTGCTTTTTCGGGCGTTTGAAAATGCAAAGCAGGCTCTTCCGTGCCAAAAGAGGAGCACAGATTATATATGGCCATGCAAATGTCACTAGTCACTAGAGGAATATCGGGCCGTGCGTTTCATGAGCAGCGGCTTTCAAAGAGCAGAGCTGAACTCGGAAAATCAAAGTTTCCTGAGGTATCACTGCATACAATTTATTATTGAAGAACCCCATATTTGTTTTTTCATTGAACACAAAAAGCAATTACAACTTCGCCAATCAATTTATTGGTGGAGAGTAAGATGGTTCGCCGGTTCCTCCGGTTCGGCTTTGCCCGCGGTTCCAGCGGTTCACGGTTCCTATGGTTCGTAGGCTGTTTGATTTTCTGCGGTTCGGTTCGACGGTTCCGGTTCGGTTCCTGAACCTTACTAAATATGGTTTAGATAATGGAATGATAATGATAATAGTTTTATGTACTATAAGTTAAGTATATACTACATATTATTACATGTGTTATATAATGTCTACTGTAATCTACTGTATCTATTGATTAATGATCAGCAAGGATTAAATTCGTGGTTCTGCCCAACCATCCCATGTTTCGACTGGCGGTGTCTAGAAGAAGACAGGTAGGCTGCTTTCCCTCAGTGAACACTCAATAGCAGGTGGGTTTGTCATCGTTTGTCTCAAGATTGGGTACTACTAAAATCCATTTTATCATCATTTATCCATCCAATCATACTGTATGTATTCAGCTATCCAGTTATTTTTTATAATTTATCATCATTTTCCCTCATTAGAATGACATTGTTTGGGTATATCCCGTTTTTGGGCAAACCTGCCAGGTTGCCAGTGCAGCGGCGGGAGCCACAACAAGCGCAACAAGGGCCGCCTGCCAAGCGGATTGACGATCAATCTAGTCATCTAGTCCTTGACTTCAGTGGAAACATTGAGTGCTTTGACCCGTTTGATTAAACACTAGGAGTGTTTCCTCTAAGACTAGATCCACTCGTGGAATCATTTGAGAATTGCTATGGGAATCCTTTTGATCATTTTATGCAATGATTCAGTGGAAAATGTGGAAACATTCCAGGAATGTGACTCACGAATTCATCAAACTGCTCTCCCACTCTCTCAAGCGTTGAACAAATTGGCTGGAGGAATCATCCCATTGCAAGACATTGAAGTGACAGCGGTTTGTTTCTGGCCTTGAAAAAGTCATTGGTTGGCTGCTTCTTGTATAACAGGAAGCCTACCATATCTTACCTTCTTTAACCATATCTTACCATATCTTACCACAGTTTCCTGATGCGAAGAGGTTGCAGTCTCTGTCAGATTCCATCAGACTGGGCGCCCGGGCTCCTCATGGACTTTGATGAGCTGGATGCTTTGGATCCTGTGGAAGTCCCAGATGAAGCTGCGCGAGATCTTGCGCTGGTCATTCTGGGCGCAACAGGCACCGGGGCACCCACCCGTTCTAGCAAGACTCGAATGTTGCTCCAGGAGAGGTTCAGAGCCTTAACCCTATGTGCAAGTTATGTTCAAGATGTTTATACGCTGTATTGCATTACTATATATTCTAAACGCGAGCACATGGACCAGAGTTGCCATCTTCAATTGAATCCAGCTATTGTCTGAATCTACATCGGAGGTGATGGGGGTGTCCAATAATCAGGGATATCCAAAACTTGATGGCCCTTTTTTCAAACAGGGAACATGAATGCAAATGATGCCTTTTGTCCTAGACCATTGTTTTTACATTGGATTTTGCTGTGTTCAGCATACTTGGAGGATCATCCCACTTGGCAAGTGGCTAGTAGTCATGGTTAGTATGTCCCATCTATAAGGGTTATCCCATCTATGAATGGATGAACTTAGATTGGTTAGTAATCATGGCTAATAAGTTCCCATTCAATTCACATCTATAAATGGGTGAACTAACTATGTTTATCCCGGAGAGGCTACACTGGCAGTTTGATGGTGGAGCATTTGGATGCTGTGCTGTCAATGCAACCTGAAAGCCATCGGCACCAATGGGGAATTGCTGGGCGTAATATTGGCAAGCTGCAGAATCTAAGCTGAACCTTGAACAGACGTTTAATTATAGAGAGAGATTATTTAGATATTATATGATATTATATAATATATTATATATGATGATAATCCCAAAAAAAACTACCTAGATCTATATTTTACATGTGCACTTGTTTGCATTGTTGATGCTGTGAGACCTTTGGAGATGTTGATGCTGCGTGATGCTTTGCTGAAGGAATGTCGCCAGCAACTGCAGAACAGAACCTCGGGTCTTTCATGTCACTGACAACGCGCAGCTTTCGCATATGGCCAGCAAATGTAGAGCCACTTGTCTCAAGTCTTCAGGCGTTTAAATTGCACGCTGTTTGTCAGGGAATATGAATATATAGAAGGACACTTAGCTCCAGAGACGGGCAGCAGCTGAGGTTATCATATCGGCTATTGGCCCATATTCTGTATGTGGTGAGGCCAGAATTGGGAAGGGTAGCTGCTAAAAAGCCACCGGCCTCAGAGATGTTGAGAGTACTCCAAGATGTGACCAAGGTACTTAGAGATGCGACCATCTATGATAGATATAGTTATGTGCGTGTAAACCTTAATAACAATATAAAGGAAGTCCTACTGCAACATGTGTGCTTTATATAGGCTGTTCAAGTGCGCTGATGAAGCAACAGATTCTTCTGAATACTTCAGCTATGCAAGTGCTTCGTCCCGCGTTTGTTTCAAGGGAATGGTATGTGCCCCTGTTTGGTACGGATGAGTCTGAAAATAGGGTGCCACTACATCCAAATACCCTGCTGAATTGAATCATCATGTTCCAATATGTTGTTCCCAAAAGCATCTCAGATGCTTGGGTTCTCATTTAGGTTACTTTGCCGCGAGGGGAGCGAGACAGAAGAGCCGACAAGCAAGGAAGGAAGGAAGGAAGGAAGGAATAAGGAAGGAAGGAAGGCACTAGCGGGAAGGAAGGCAGGAAGGAGAGGGGGAAGTAAGGAAGGAAGGCAGGTAGGAAGGCAGGAAGGAAGGAAGAAAGGAAGGAAGGAAGGCGCGAGCGCGGATGGAGTGGAAAGCGTGGAAATAGCTTGGAAATAGCTTGGGGGCCGCTGGAGGGAGCGAGACAGAAGCACCGGACGAGCGTGGATGGACTGTGATGCGTGGAAATAGCTTGGGGGAGCTCTGCTGGAGGGAGCGAGGCGGGAGCGCCAGACGAGCGTGGACGGACTGTGAAGCATGGAAATGGCTTGGAGGGGCGCCGGACGAGCAAGGATGGACTGTGAAGCGTGGGAATAGCTTGGGGGAGCTCCGCTGGAGGGAGCCAGCTGGGAGCGCCGGACCAGCATGGATGGATTGTGAAGCTTCGCATGAAATGCTCGTTTTGATGCTCCAACATGTCTCGTCTCGAGTCTCTGGCTTTCCTCTGGCCTCGCCATGTCTATGGGGGAAGCCGCAAAACCTATCCTGTTTGAAGCTGTCAAAGCAGGTTGTAATGTCGTTTTGCGTGGCACGTGTGACATTTAATGACATTCTCACGTGTCTGCAAACGTGTCGAAAATCGTTTTGTGTGGCAGGCACGATACTTTTCCGTCGTTTTGAGAAGATGGGTTGCATTTTTCGTGGCAGGCGCAGCACTTTGGAGACCCCCATCGTCATTTTGAGTGGCCTTGGCAGGCGCAGCACTTTAGACGTGTCGCGTTGCTTGCTCTACACTCCATACTCGAAACTCCGCACTCCACACTTTACGTTCCACACTTTACACTCTACACTCTACACTCCACACTCCCGCTTCACACTCTACACTCCACACTCTCCACTCCACACCTCACACTCTCCACTCCACACCTCACACTCCACACTCCACACTCTCCACTCCACACTTTGCACTTCACACTCTACACTTTACACTCTACACTCTACACTTTACACTCCACACTTTACACTCTACACTTTACACTCCACCCTTCACACTCTACACGTTACACGCCACACTTTACACTCCGCACTCCACACTCTCCACTCCACACCTCACACTCCACACTCCACACTCGACACTCCACACTCCACACTCGACACTTTACACTCCACACTTTACACTCTACACTTTACACTTTACACTCCACACTTTACACTCTACACTTTACACTCCACCCTTGACACTTTACACTTTACACGCCACACTTTACACTCCACACTCCACACTTTACCCTCCACACTTCACACTCCACACTTTACACTCCACACTCTACACTTTACACTCCACACTCTACGCTTTACACTCCACACTTTACACTCCACACTTTACACTCCACACTTTACACTCTACACTTTACACTCCACACTGTACCCTCCACACTACACTCCGCACTCCGCAGTTCTCACTTTACACTACACACTCGTCACTTTACACTCCGCACTCCACACTTTGCACTCCACCCTCCTCCACATTCCACAGTCTAGACCGCACTGGTAGGGTAACAGGGGAAAAATGTACAAGACTGTTCAAATAACTTGTTTCACAAAAGTGTTCTACATGACTGCATTCGGGTTTGTGGGCTGCATCTGGTTTTATGCACAGAAGCTTTTACACACAGAAACTTTTACACAAGCTTTTACACAAAAAAAACCTTTACACAGAGGAGCTTTTACACACAGAAGGGTTTCACAGAGGAGTCTTTACACACGGGGGCGTTTACACGGGGAAGCTTTTACACGCAGAAGCTTTTACACAGAGTACTTTTTACACAGAGTGGTTTTTGCATAGAGAAACCTTTACACAAAGAAGTCTTATCACAGAGAAGCTTGCACACACAGAGGCTTTGACACAGAGAAGCCTTTTACACAGAGCAGCTTTTTCACAGAGGAGTAGCTTTTACACAAAGGAACTTTTACACAGAGAAGCTTGTACACTCAGAGGCTTTGACACAGAGAAGTCTTTTATACAGAGAAGCTTTTGCACACAGAAGCTGGTAGGCAAAGAAACGTTCACAAACAGAAACTTTTACACACAGAAACTTTTACACACAGAAGCTTTTACAGACAGAAGTTGTTTCACATAAAACTCTTTACACAGAGGAACTTTTACACAAAGAAACTTGTACGCACAGACGCGTTTACACGCTAGCTTTTACGCATAGAAGCTTTTGTACAGAGAAGTCTTTGCCCATCTTTCATCCTGTCTAATTTTTCGTGATTATTCACCATCTGTCATCTTCGTATCTTTGTCTTCATGCTCTTTTGGTCAACTCCCTCTGTCGTTTAATTTTCATTTCGCACGGTGTTCTCTCCGTCCACGCTTCGTCCTCGCTCCCCCTGCGGCGAAGCAAACTAAACAACAACCCAGGAATACATAGCGACTAGAAATATGGGATAGAGTTAATTACATGAGCAGAAATA